TTTTAACCAGAAAGTTGACATTTTTTTCTTCATGTAAATCATAAGAGAGTAAAGCCTGCAGCTTGTGTGGAATATTTTTGAATATTTCTTTTCAATATGGCAGAAACCCACTATAAAGGTTTTGCTCAGAAAAATATCACCGCATTCAACACAGAAAGGAAGAAATATAGTTGCAATTTCAATCTGGGATCCCCAAGGTTACAGTTTTTTAAGAAAAGCAACTTATACCATGACGCATAACAAAAACACTGAAATGCTCTCGGAGGCTGGAAATTAGATTTGAAATGTGCTAGTGATGTACAAGAAGGCCTAAACAGTAATCTAAGGATTTGATATTACATGACATAAATATTCATTCAGATGACACTGTGTTATTAAAAAAATAAACAGTATGAAACACTCTGATACACACTCTTCCAGCTTCACAGGTGACTATGATTCTGTGAGTCCATGAACTCAGCAGCTGATGTTTTAAAGCAAAGACTGGACAGAAACCCCATGATCTGCCACCGCTGTTCAACAGACAGAGCGACAACACAGGTATTATCGACAGGGAGGAAGAAGTGAACCGTGAAGCAAGGACAGTAGAAAGTGCTCAGTGTTTGGTGGGGGAGATAATAATACACTTTGTTTGTATAGACCTTTCATGCACAAAGCAGCCCAAAGTGCTTTACAGAAAACATAACAACAATATTCAAATAAATACAGAACAAGATAAAACATCTACAGTGATCCTAATGAATTCCCTTGAATTAAAGCTGACAAGAAATTAAAATAGGTTAAAATAAAACAATTTTAAAAAGAAGATTTTAAAGGTCCCATGTCATGCTTTTCTGGTTATTACCCGTCCCCTTGTGTGTTATGTAGCTTTTTATGCATGTATACGGCCTGCAAAGTCACAAACCCTCAAAGTACACCCTGTAGCGAGTAAAACTTTAACCCAGAAAAGACGTGTCTATGCTGCCCCAGAACATCTTCCTCCATTTTTTTCTTCCTGAGTATAGTGACATAACGATACCCAGGTCCAAATGGACCAATCCGTGGAGCTCCTCACGCACACACAGGCTGCTTCTCACTTCTCTTATTTTAATTTCCTCGCTCCTCGCTCCTCACTCCTCGGTCCTCGGTATCACCGGAAGTTGATTTGTCTGCGCCATCTTGAGTAGCGTCCCATTGCCCTTATTTGTGATCTTGGAACATTGAACAATGTAAATCTATTCTAGTAGACCTCAACAATGGAATTATGATCAGTGGTAATGGCCAATGATGACAATGATACTAGTGAGAATTAAAAGCTTAACCCAAATTAAAAGCCATATTAAAAAGATAGGTCTTTCATTTGCTTTTAAACATTTCAAAGGAGTTTGCTGTTCTAAGATCCACGTGTACTGTGTGTGTGTGTCTGTGTGTGTGTGTGTGTGTGTGTGTGTGTGTGTGTGTGTGTGTGTGTGTGTGTGTGTGTGTGTGTGTGTGTGTGTGTGTGTGTGTGATCAGTTTGATGATGAGTTTGAAAGCATTATAAAGTCAGCAGGCTGTGTAGATGTTGGAGTAGCTAAAGGCACATTTACTTTAGACCATGTGCAGCAAATAAAATACATTACAAATCATTTTCTCAGACACACAGATAATGGCTGTACTTTCTAGAGAATGCACTGTTACATCACCCTTTCACAACAACAAGGACTCACTCCTCTGTTTTTGGATGATTCCCCCTCGTCACCTGTGCACGCTTAAGTATGTTTCACACAGGAAATGAGTCCCGCCCTTCTGGTTCCTGTATCATGCATGTTTTGTCAATTAATATAGAAGTCGTTCTGATGGGACGGAGAGAAAGGAGTGATTGTGTGTGTTATTTACGACAAGAGGGCTGCCTTAGGCGAAAACCTGAGCACTTGAGAGACATAGCGAGGCGGACAGAATCTAAAAATACCACGGCTGAGTGAGCAGTGTTTAAGAAGAAGAAGAAGAAGAAGAAGAAGAAGAAGAAGAAGAAGAGTGGCTGTCTCTGCTATCAGGTCGTCCTCTTGGTCACAAGAAACTAACATCAACATCGGGAACGTCGCTAGAGAGACTGGTAAGTCGTCAGCTCTCACAAATGCAGTGATCAATCGTATAGTCGACCAACCAACCGTTCCACCCTAACACCTAGGCCCCATCTATGAACTAAATAAACCCTCCCCAAGTCTATTTTTTCCCCCAACTCTTTCATACAAGTACTGGCCTTGAATAGAGACATCAACCTTTTACATTATTTTTCACCAGACAACCCCAACAAACACGCTCGCCGTCGCCGTAGCGTATTTGAGTAGTAACGAACTCTCACAACAGGTTTACTCTCAACATACCAACGAAGGGTACTATATATAGTCATAAATCCAAAACTCTCTTTCTTTAACATTTTCCTAGTTGAAGTAGTATTTACGTAGTAAATGAAAAGGTTTTCTCAAGAATTAGGTTCACACCGCATTCATGCTCAAAAAACCGTAAATACTAATACCCACCCACCTACCACACACGCTCTAAGGTGACGTTATAGCATACTCCCAAGTAACACAGCACTGGAACTTAAACCACCTCGAAAAGTATAGAACCAAAGTACAAACGAGAAACAGTTTGTATTTGGGTGAGCTAAAAAGAAGAATAACGACATGCTCAAGCTTAACGACGGAAACGGAGGGGGGAAGCAGTAACAGCGAAACACCAGGACAAAGAACGTAGTAACGCTCGCGCTCTGTTAGGCTATAGAACTAAAGACGATGCGCTCATAGACATCGATGCCGCTGCATAAAAATCGAGCCGAGTATCAATCAGAGACGCTCCTAATTCAAACAACGACATATACTGAAATACTCAACTCCGTGTTCTCAAATGACTCAGCGTTGTTTACTAAAGAAAGATGCACAACGCCGTGTCAAATACACTGCTCCATGGACAACTACTAAGTAAACACCTCTACGTGTCGCATCTCAACATTTCCCCGTGTTGTCTCGCTTGATAATTTACACCGGCGTGAGCGGAGCCTCTTTCTGTAAATATGTGTGCTGTATACATCTGCACCACACTAACGCTACTCTACAATATATCTACGTACCACACGAGTGTGATCTACATAGTGTAGTACCACTCACTAACGTATACTAACCGTCCACTCACCTTTATACAGATAACTAAATACGCTTCACGTGTCGTTTAAATAACAAGCAACTTTACTGTAGTAAAATTAAAGTTAAATGTTTTCACAAAAACCGTGAACTTCTCATCGACGCATGTAATTGCGGAGAAGATACAACCCTAACCCCTCTCAGTCCCTCTCACTCACTCGAAACAAAGTGTTCTTATTACAATTTAGTACACACTACTCCCAGTGTTTCAGAGATGTTCCGTAATACAGTAAAAGACAGAAAGTATATCTTTTAATTCATATAACAATTGATTTATTGTAAAAATTGTCCTTGTCTCTATCAGTTCCAAAAAAATTTAACATCACATATGGACGAGAGCGAGGACAATGAACCGCACAGACAGGAGAGCTAGTACTGCGTCTGGTTTTGTCACTATGATGAGGAGTCTCCGAAAACGAGTCTTTCGAGTCGTCCGTTGTTGTGTGGTACATGAGTGTTTCGACGAGCAGAAGAGTGGAGAGGTGACGCAGTAATTTATTAGAACAAGACGAACAAGTCTCACCAATTCACACGTCTACCTAGCAATACTTTACTCTGAAATAACGTTAAGGTGAGTATAGCAGAAAAGTCACCGTCTTCTGCAGACCATACACGAGATGTCTTCCGTCCTTCGTCTTCGGCGTCCTTTGTCCGACCACACAGTCTCCCACCCACCCACACACACCACACAACACACACACACATCACACACAACACACACACACTAGTACGTGGACAACATTAGTAAAAGTATATGGGGTAAAGTATATGTGTGTATTACTTGTGGCCCTTTTTGTAAATTGACGACTAAATGAATCGATAAATGTTGATCTGTACGTCAGGACAAAAAATAAACGAAACACAATGCTCACACACTCAAACCACCGACTTCGATACTTACAAGGAAAACAGTACACTACAGACAGATTTATATATCTTCGCGTCTCTGGCTTTGCGAATGGTCGAAAGGGAAATTAAGTGTCGATTTGACTCTCTTCTTCGATTCTTGGTATCGACTCTTCATCTCTAACTTTTGCGGTGACTCCCGTTAAGTTTAGAATCACTAAGTTGAGTTCGAAATCTAAACTGAGTTACCTCAGTAAAAGAGTGTCGACCGACGTCTCGTTTGTACGTATTATAATTCTAAATTCACTAAATTAGTAAGTTCAACAGAGTGTAGAGAAAACATGTGATCTACGATTAAAGCAGAGTGAAAGTTGTTCTTGTGTATAAAGTAAAACCACTGTAAACTCTCAGGGAAAGTTATACTCCGTGAGTAATCTCGAGAAAGTTTACAAAAATCCTTCTAAAAGGAATCCAAAATATTATAACTCAACCTCGTGTTTCACTGGTATTGTTTATGTTCATTGTGATTATCAGAGAAAAGTCTACCTTTATAGTGAGAAAGCCCAGTAGTTGTCGGTTAAGTTCTGTACCCGACTCAGACAAGTGTCAGGTAATTGTGAAACATCACATGAAGTGTATAGACGAACTATCTCTCTCCAAATACAAACTTGGAATCACCGGTTGCCTGTTGTCTACTTATCCGGTCAAACGGAAATTACGGACGGTGCGTCTCTGATCTCGGTATTACACACAAGACACTCGTCTGTCATAAACCTGTACATTGCAATGGAGACTCCGACAAAAATATTGTACATACACCCGATCTCTCTGTCTTCGCATGTGTGTGGTGTCTCTGTCTCTCTCTCTCTGTCTCTCTCTCCCCTTTTTTTCTCTCTCTCTCTCTCTCTCTTCTCTCTCTCTCTCTCTCTCTCTCTCTCCTCTCTCTCTCTCTCTCTCTTCTCCTTCTCTCTTGTACACATCCCCCATTTACAGGGTATGTGTAGCAGTAAGAAACCGCTTCCTTTCCAAAACTTCCTGTACCGTGGTCCGGGACACTGGTACGGTCGGTTTAGACCTTCTTATGTTTGTGTTATTTGTTCTGCCATCGGAATACACTCAGTTTCTCAACTTATGGTGAAAAATCTATTGCTGTAAGAAAGATTTTGCTCCCGTAATATATGTCCGTTCACATACTGGGAGACCTTCAGGGAAGGAACACTGAGATTAATAGAAAAAGGGATTTCCGGTTTTTAGGTCGGTTTTAGAGTAATATCCACAAAGGTATTCCAAGTGAAATGTAGGGTACTGAGTTTTTATCTAGTTATACACTATAATTTTCTTCTAGGTGAACAAGATGTATGGGAAAGAAATTTACTCGGACAGTACTAGAGTCTAACCTAAACAAACCCAAACGAATATTTCTGGATTACAAGTACCACTCTGTCGTCTCGC